CTGATATGCTTTCTAGCATTTTCTTTTCTAAGGTCAGAGTTGGATCAGTGTTGACTTCCTAAGGCTGGTTTTCTGCTGTAGTCAAGGGTCCAGCCTTTGGCTTCTCTCGCCCAGTAATACGGGTCCAGGTGAGGATTTAGATGTTTTTCTCCCTCCTCCTTTGGCCACCTTCTTTTGTACCAGGATCCCCATCCAGGGATCCTCTTGCATTATATAAACCCAATTTTCTGAGAACTCAGATTCTTCCTCAGAGTCAGTTTCAGCTTCATACACCTTCCCCAGTTCCTCTTGGGCATTGCTCCAAGCCCCCTCTTCTTCTGTTTCCTCCTGTGAGGGTCCTACTCTTATGTCCTCCTCTTGCACAGCTCCCCTGGTTTGAAATCTCAGGCTCAATCTTTACTTTCCCCTCTTAACTTACTTCTACTGGGTTGGGATTTGGGAAATCTCAGCCCATGTCCCCACTAAGCCATGACAGTCACTGAGGGTCTGGTCACACAGGGAGATAGATCACATTTGTGGAGCGGTCCAGCGTGATGTATCTCTCAGTGCTCACATGGCATTCAGGGAATCACAGTCCACCCAACTGCGATCTGTGCCCAAGTTGGACCTTTTTGGTCCAGTTGTGGCAATTCTACTTTTGGGGGGATGGGCTGAAGCAATTTCCTGGCAGACAGAAGGGTGGTTTTAAGGGAGATTACTCCTTGCAAAGTGATTCTTTCATACCATTGGATCGCACTGTGAGTCATCTTGGGTGTTCCCTCTGCTTAGCTTAGCTTAGCTTACTTCATAGGGTAATGATGAGAATAAAAAGAAGGGAAATTTGTTTTTCACTTGTCCTCCAGTGTGCTCAAGGCATGTTGCCTTCAACACCTTGGAGGACAAGTGATATACAAGTGAAATAATATATAAATAATATTTGGTCACCCGCAATATTTGGACTTGGTAATATCTGTTTGGGATCAGAACTATTCTTCTGAATTAGCTGGTTTTACTTTTTGCTAAAAGAAATTAGCCTACAGCGGGTGAAGATGGGCCGGTGGGTATAAATGGGAAGATGCACAGTGAGAAGGGGAAAAAAAAGAAGGGCTGTTTTTCCAAAGAAAATTGCATAATAGGGGGTAGCTGAAGGGCACATCCAGCACATGACTTCCCCTCAAGGTTCCAACTTCTTCCTTTCAATAACTCTTAGGCCAAGGCATTGCACCAATGCAAGTGCTACTCCCTGATGCAAGTGTGACTCTGGGCATGGGGAGACTACCATTTTCTAGACTGTCTCATTTAAAAACAACAGCAAAAGCCTTCAGCAACAAACTGTTTCTGAGCCTCCTGACAGGAAATCGTTACAGAATACAGCATTGTTTTAGAGTCTTCAAAAGGTGACTTTCCTGGCCCACCCCCAAACACACATCACGGAGAAGAACAGAAAGACGGATTGTATCTCTGCCCCTCCAGCATCTTCCAACTAATCCCCTCTTCTACAGAAACAAACATGGCCTTCTGTAGCGGAGAGAAAAGCCGTGGATGGGGTAAATTGGAGAGTGGAGTGGGGAGATCTGTCCAGTTTGGATGTAACCCTGGAGCTGTATCTTCAGCAGCCCTCAGCACTTTGTGGGTGATAGCCCTGTATATATTTTTTCAGCCAGTTGCATTTATATCATGCTTTTCTTCCGATGAAGGAAAGACGTGGCTCTCCCCCTCATTTTTTATCCTTACAACAACCCTGTGAGGAAGGTCAGAGAGAGTGACTGGCCCATGGTCACAGACTGAGCGCCATGATGGTGATCTTTCTTCCAAGTCCCTAGCTAATGCTCTAGACTGGCACTTTCCAACCTTGGGGTAACCCAAGTGTTCTTGACCTGCAAGTCCCATAAGCCTTCACCATCGGCAGTGCTGACCAGGATTTTGGGGAGTTGTAGTCTGAGAACATATGGGGACCCAAGGTTAGGAAGCAACTCTCTAACCACTTGTATGTCTCTCTCAATCATTTTTAAAAGGGGGGGTGGGAGAGGGGTCTAGCTGCTACTGATGGCAAAGGAGCAACCAGTCCCTGACACTCTCTAACCACTTGCATGTCTCTCTCAATCATTTTTAAAAGGGAGGGGGAGAGGGGTCTAGCTGCTGCTGATGGCAAAGGAGCAACCAGTCCCTGACCTTTCTTCGCACTGGGTCTCAATGTTAGAGGGAAAGTTTGGAGTAAAGGTGTATCTGTGGAGAAAAAGGTTAAAACAACCTACCTCCGCCCTGTTCAAAGACAGATCAAAGCCAAAACAATAAGGAAAGTAATTCTGGGCAACTTTCCTACTTTGCATGCGATCACCCCCCTTCCTTCCTGCTCCCCCTTCTTCTCTGGAACGGAGAAGGCCTCAGCAAACACTAGATACTGTAGCTGGGTAGAGCGGGAGAAGAAGACAGAATGCCCTTTGAACAGAAGAGGAAACGCAGGTACAATAGGGACCTTGTAGTGGAGGTAATTCCAGAGATGGTTTGGGGTTTCTGGGAGTTGTAGTCCAAAAAAAGTAACATCTTCAACCCTTGAGGAACTCAGATCTCAGCTGGGAGTCTCTGTTCTGGCACAGAGGCCAGTGGTGGCCGCTGCCCATTGGAACTGGTTCCTGTGAGGGTGGAAGGGTCAGTTCATGGGACGTCACTCCCAGCAAAAGGGACCCTGTTCTGGTGCAATCAAACATGATCCTTTCTTGCCTCCTGCCTGCATCTTCTTTCTTCTTCTTCCCTCCTTTTGCATGGATGACTGGGGGGTTTAAACATCTACATGTATTAGACTTCAGTTCCCAGAAGCCTGGGCCAGTGTGGCCAGTGTTAAAGGATGATGAGAGCTGTAGTCCAAAATGTCTGTGCAGCCTCAGCCACTTTAGACTTGCACTAGGCCATAAAGGAGCAGACAGGGCTCTTCCTTTTTTGGAGGTCTTCAAGCAGAGGCCAGAAAGTTGTCCATCAGGAATGATCTGCTCTTGATCACCTTCATTGCAGCTTATGGTCTAGTGAAGGACACGATGTGAGTGTTTCCCAGCCTTGTATCCTCAGATGTTGTTCAGTGTCATCTCCCACAACCCACAGTCAGAATGGGCAGCGGTGCAGGATTCAGGGAAACACAGGCTGAGAACCACCGGGTACATATTCCATTGCCATTAAGGTTCAGCTAGCCTTCCACTCCAGGCATGGGACTGCCTCCTCTGAATATTTGAGGGTAGGACGCCTCCCTCTGCTGGAACTGTAAGCCATTCTTATTAGTATAGCTTTTGGCACAGGAAGCATGTGAGATTTTGATATGTCATCTGATTCCACGGTGCTGGATGTTTTAGCCTTCCCCAATCTGGTGCTGTCCAGGTGGGTTCGTGTAGAATTCCCATCACCCCAGCACAACTGGACAGCAAGAGGGTAGGAAAAAATGTCTTGCAATGTTTGGCTAGTCTTGGGAAAGTGACTTTTGGGGTCACAAAACCCATTGGCCTGCTTAGTAAGGGGGATTCTTGGAGCTGTATCCAAATACGATTCTTATCTCCACTCTCGACTTTCCTAACCTGATTCAGACGACTTAGCTGTTTTGGTCTGTGCTAGCATATCAGGCCAGAACAAGTGAAAAATAAAAAATAAAGAAGACAAAAACGTTGTGGAATCTTAAAGACTAGCTTAAAGACTAGCTTACTACTGTATATTTTAATGTGAACTTTCATACACAAGTTCACTTCCTCAAACCCTCTAATCTTTAAGGTGCCACAACATTTTCTTTCTTTCTTTCTTTCTTTCTTTCTTTCTTTCTTTCTTTCTTTCTTTCTTTCTTTCTTTCTTTCTTTCTTTCTTTCTTTCTTTCTTTCTTTCTTTCTTTCTTTCTTTCGTTTTGGCCTGATATGGAAAACTGATCTGTTTGTCTCTTTCCCCTGTGGCTAAAGGATTTGCTTAATCTCTGGATACTTGGGAGGCCCAGCATGAAACAGGAAGAAGGGTGAATGGTGAAGAGGAAGAAAAAGTAATCTGGATGATATTAGAGTAGATGACAATTTGCAAGGTGTAAGGTTAAATGTAGGGAAACTGTAGGATTTGCAAGGTGTATGAGAAAGAGTTAGAAATGATAAATAGAGGAATGGGATACATCTGTGTTTGAGAGAGAATATAAGGCAGTGGGGGAGAGCAAAGAATGGGGAGCCTTGCTGGCTGCTGCCGTGTTGTCGCTGACATGTTTCCTAACTTTCACGGTTGTCTTGGGCCAACCAATTTGCCCCATATATAGTGCACGTTGTACGAGCACATACACATTGCCCTCCGAACTTGAGATTGTTCTCTTCCAGCAATTTTTAAAAATTGCCCAGTTGGACACAACATACGGAGTAGGGGGAAATCCTGCATTTGGAAAATTGATCAGCATGCATTTGGAAAAACGAGCAAAAAAAAAAAAATAGTCACGTGTCACGTGTTTGTTATAGAAGGATTGAGTGTGCTCTGGTTCCACATACAAAAGGTTTCAGCACTGAACAAACAAGAGCTACCGATGCCTGTGAAGCGAAGCACACTTTGTTTTGGGCTTTTCATTTTTCTTTTAAGGGTGGGGTCAGTGAAGGGTGGTCACTGTATTTGAGGCTGGACAGTCTGCTTAAAAAAAATAATAAATTGCTTCAAGGTATTTCATCCTCCTCCTTAGGCTGCAGATGAGGTTTGTCCAGCTCCCAGAATGAGCCAGCCAGCATTGCCGTGGATCATGCCGGTTGAGCTATTCTGGTACTTCTAGTTCCTAAAAGAAAGGGTGAGGGGGGGGGGAGAAGGAGAAAGTACTTTCCCACCTCTGCAAGGTGCCCTTTTTATTCTTACAAATTTCAGCCCTTCACCCCTTGACTCTTAACAGAGTGGACTGAAGAGTTTCCCAAAGGGGAAGTCCTACATCTAGCAATGTCCCACCCACAAGGGTTGAGTCAGCAGGATTGTTGCACAAGGGGCTGGCCCTGGGACTTCCCCCCCCCCATCATCACACCAACTCTTCTTGTTCCCCTTAAACCCTTCCTGCTGTCAGCCTTGCCACACAGTGCCTCTGTTTCCTCCAGAGGCAACCATGGCTGTCCCTTGGGCGAATCTGTTCCCGTTCCTCCTGGTGGTATTCTGGTGTTCTGGACACCTGGAGACGCTTGCAGGTAAAGAGGGGAGAGGGAAGACTTTTTTCCCCCTTCGGGGTTGCACCTAGCCTTTAGATACCATCAGACAAAAATTCAAATAAGAATGCCCTATACTCCATTGCTTGGAAAAACAGGATCTGCTTGATTTCTGTTTTGTTTTTTTTGGGTTTTTTTGCTAGCAACAACTATTAAACTTCAATACTTAGAGGCACAGGAACAAATCTGATTTCTAGAAGGTGGGAGCCGTTATATCAGCTTCTGCTGGCTTGCTGCTTTTTAATTTCTGTTGAAAGGCCTCCTGTGCTTTTTAACAGCTGTGAAACAGCAAAAGTTGAGTGAGTAGGATCTGTTCCCCAGAATGAAAGATCGGTGCTTTGCCTGTTGAACATCTGCCTTTCACGCTGATGTTAACCACTGTAGCCCCCCCCCCCCCAGAATTATCTATCGAGCATATCTAGGTTATGTGTAAAGTGGTTCACCAAGCTTGTAGGAATGGAGTGGGAGCCTGCAGGAGTGAAGAGTGTGGTTTAACACCCAGAGTGAAAGGTATTTGCATATAATTTCCAACAATTTGAGATGTCACAGCTAAATGACAGAATGATTGCCTATTATGTGATCAAAAGATTCTCATGGGTATGGAAATTATTTATTGGTTCATAAAAAGAAATTGCCCATTAGGAGAATTTGGTCTGTCATGTATGTAGTTTCAGCAGACACTTACCGTACTCTCATCCAGAAAAGAGACCATATCGGGCAGGTGGGAAATCCTTATAATTGAAGACATTAATTTCAACGTGTCATTATTCTTAGCTCATTGAAGGGCCAGTTGTTGTAGCACCTTCATCGTCAAGCAATTTTCTATGGCCACTGAGCGTGTTCCGTCCTCATTGGACAGATGTAGGGAGGATTCAGCTGTTCCATTCCCCACACTGGGTGATTTTCTTCTTCTACATCTGCAAACATTGGGGTTTTGTGAAGCCCATTGATAGCTCATGTGGCTCCAAACTGTTTTCTTGAATTGGAAGAAAAATCTGGATAGGAATAAAACAAAATAAATAATAAAATTTCTGTCTTCTGCCAGGGTCACACCATTCTGTCTACATAAGCAGTATCCACTTCTGGTCAGCAGATACATGGGGAGCAAGAAACTAAAATGGAACAAACAACGAACAACCTGCTCCTAACCAGGCAAAACAGCACATAACAACTATATATAACAAGCATTGTACTGTAGCTCAGTGGTTCTTAACCTTTGTTACTCGGATGCTTTTGAACTGCAACTCCCAGAAACCCCAGTCAGGACAGCTGGTGGTGAAGGCTTCTGGGAGTTGCAGTCCAAAACTCCTGAGTAACCCAAGGTTAAGAACCAGTGCTGTAGCTGACACCTCCCAAGGTCAACCAGCAGGGAGGAAACAGGAAGAGCTTCCCTTGGAAGTGAGTTCCACAAGACTGGGGATGCTACTAAGAAGGCCCTGCTCTAATAGAAATGTGATCTGTCGTGATGGGTGGTGCCAATTGTTGGAGACTTGCTACCTTTTAGTTTGAATGAATGTACAATAAAGATTTAGATCTACATGGGCAAAATACTAGCGTCCTGGGTCACTGGTAAACCGTGCAGATCTCCAGTGTTCTGCTAGGTGGCCTTAGGCAAGCTGCTCTCTGTCAGCTTCATTCAGCTTTTCCATCTGTAACATGGGCATAACAACAACAACCAGCCTTGCCAACGTTTTATATTAAAGTAACTTATTTGACATTATCTGAGCAGTAGGAAGGGTTGCATTTCTTTATTGATTTGCAATGTTTATATACATTCAGACAAAAGAACAATGTGAAATCATGTTTTCTTTAAAAACTATCTCAAACAACCACTTGAAAGATATGTACCATAAATTTAAAAAGTGTACACTGTAATACTGTAAACCCATAAACTAAACTACTACAGTAAATAACTACTGTAGCAGCCCTGCCACTTGCAACAGTACGGGTGTGAGAAGTGAGCTGGGTGTGTCATTTTTCAAATGAATGATATTATATGTGAGGGTACATATATTTCATATAGAACTGAACACAAACGATGGAATGTTTTAGATAATCAACATATTTTTCTTCGGTGTGATGCTTAGCAATTTTTTAAAAATACCTTCTTAACAGAGTCTGGGAAATTGCGTTTTTGACTACAGACTGAGAATCCACCAGGCAGCCTGGCTAGTGGCCATGGTGGCTAGGAGGCCCCAAAAGCTGTCGTTTTAAACAGAGAACTTTTCCAGGCCCTGCTTCTGATGCAATATGTAGCCTGGACCTGTTTGCTTTTCAGAAGGACCAGTTCTGCATCCTCAAAAACGAGGCAATGGGCCACCAGAAAAGAGGGCAAAAGATGCCCTTCAGCATCCTGGCAGGGACTTTTTGCTAAACCTTCCCTTCATCCTCCCTGTGCCTTTATTTGCTGGCCTGGTGTCCAGTAAAAGCTCTATCCAACTTTTACTCTATATCAGAGGCATTGTGGGGAATTAAATGGTGGCTGCACCCATGTGCTGCTGCTCTCCTCCTATAAGGGCAGAGGCAACACCTGGGAATTTCAGGGGAGGGATTCCTATCCATCTGCTGGCGGCGGCCACCGTTCAACTGACTTCCCCATTTCAGAGGATGTTCTGTGCTATGAAAAGTTCGATGACACCACGGGCACCTGCAGTGACCTGCTTGGAGGGGGTGTAAGACTGGAAGACTGCTGTCTCAATCGTCAGTATGGTTTCCGGCAGGCCGTTGGTGGCCAGTGCCGTGCCTGCCGGTAAGTAAAGCACAGACCCAATCTCGCTAACCACTCCATTCACTGTCTCTTTAACAACCCATCCATTTCTTGCTCCAGAACCCCACAAATCTCACCCAGTCCTTGAGCCAGCCATGATAGTGCCTGTGACGTTCACCCAGTGTCCCCTGCTTGTTTCCCCCAAACCAAGGCTTCACTCTGGTGACGTTCTCTCTTTCCTTTGCTGTCACCAGTGGATTTCCCCTATCCACACTGTAAAGGACTTTTTAATAAACAAGTTCACTTGCTGCCAACAGAACTTGTTTATTAAAAGCTCTTAGGCTGAATCTGAATCACAGATATTCTTTAATCATTGTACAGAATTAAAATCATTGAAACCTCATATATTTTGTTACACACTCAATCACCATTTGCTTTATTTATTCACTTTAACCAGCTTATCTTTATTAATATCAGTTCTATTTCTCTGACTATCTACAGTATCTCTTTGCTCTTCAACCTCTCTCCTTCACACGTTGCACCACACTTCTCTGACTGACTGAATGATCCCGCCCCTCCAGTCCTCTCATAGGCTCATGCAAATGAGCTCCCGCTATGAGTGACAGGAGTGATGTGGGCATTTGTCACAGTGCCCCCTCCTCATATTTGAAATTTGTGGCCCATAGGAGGGATGGTAATAATTCCAGAGTTGTAACTGTCATGCGGTTGCTTTCCTGTACTATAATTTTTATTTCTTCATGAGATGCAAACTCATTTGCAGCTACACCATCAACACTTTCTTTCCTCTTTATCCATTCCTCTCTTATTCTAATTAATATCCAGCCTGATGAAGAACTCTGAATTACTCAAAAGCTTGCATGTTATTTTGTGATAAACTAATGCCCAATTGTGGATTTCAGATTCTTCTCCCCAAAGGACCAACAAGGCTTCCTCTAGTTTTGTAACATTTTATTTGGCTGTGGAGAGAAATCTGTGGGTGTGTTTTCATTTCTGGTTGGTACAGTATTTGGGTGCAGTCCTGTTTCTGCCAAGGAGACAACTTCTTGATGACCCGAAAGAATCTAAACAGATCTTACCAACTTTTGTGTGTTACAGCACACATCGTCCTCTACTAGCATAGCCATTGGGAATTATGGGAATTGTAGAAGAAAAAGTCATTTTTCATGGTCAGGGAGAATCGTGTGCTTCAACTGGGAATCAAGACTCCTGTTTTTGGCCCATTGGGAAGCAAAGTAAACCTGTTTTACCCACAGGGTTTTGTGAATTGCCGGGGTACCCTGAGGAGGCTTCTGTGTGGGATTTCTTGGGTGGAATTTGCGGTTCCATCATGAGTTGGTCCATTCTCTGTCCTGCGGCTCCTTTGCCCCTCACTGTTCCCCCCCCACCTCTTTCCACAGTGCGGCGAAGTGGAGCGAATGGTCTCCATGGAGTCCCTGCTCCGTGAGCTGCACGGAAGGGGTCCAGCGACGCAGTCGGATGTGCCAAGGAGTGAACGAGGGCGACTGCGTGGAAGGCAAACGTGAATGGGAGATGCGTTCTTGTCTCCTGCAAGACTGCTGTCCGGGTGAGCACCCTGACTCTTGTAACTGCGTGTTTTGCTCTTTGGGTTTAGGGAGAAGCCCGATGCAACCCCAAGGAGAACCTAGACAAGTTGCCTTTTTAAAATCCTGCTCAGTTTCAAGTGGTCATGCTAGCTGGAGTGGGAGTCTGGAAATTGTGGGCTAAAATGGGAACTTACCTAAGCTTTGCAACAAAATCTTTTATTATTATTACAGTATTACTAATAAAAAGGAAAGTTACAAATAACAAGGACAGAACTAGAATACAAACTCAGTGGTGACTACACACAATACACACTAAACATTTCCCACCCATGCCACCTTCATCCTTGGGACTAGGTGATCAACAATATCTGTTGATACCCCTTTTGACCCCATTCCTCTCCAAAAATACATTGATTCCTCTGCTGTCCTATAGTGTTTCCCCTTTGAAAAAAACATATTCCAAGTATGAATTCCATACATCTTTGAAAGTGCCCTATAGTGTTTCCCCTTTGAAAAAACATATTCGAAGTATGAATTCCATACATCTTTGAAATCGTTAAGATTTCTTATTTTCATTACACATGTTAACTTAACATTAATTGCTAAACTCCACATTTACCAATCTTCAGGATTAATTTGTTTGTTGCTTTTCCAGTTCTTTGCACATATTAATCTTGCTACCGTAACTATTGCAACAAGTAACTCTTTCTGATATTTTTTCAAAACCTTTGCAATAAGTCTTGCTACTGTAACCATTACAACAAGTAACTCTGATATTTTTTCAAAACCTTTGCAATAAAATCATAGTACAAAGTGGTGCCTCGCTAGACAATGATAATGCGTTCCTTTGAAATCGCTGTTTAGCGAAATCATTGTCTAGCGAAAGGCATTTCCCTATTGGAATGCGTTAAGACCTGTTTAATGCGTTCCAATGGGGAAGAATCGTCGTTGTCTAGCGAAGATCTGCCCTAGGAAAGCCGCTTTGCGAACCGCCAATCAGCTGTTTAATAGCTGTCTTGCGAAGCTTAGGTCCCGAAAACACCCGTTTTGCGAGCGCAGAGGGAGCTGTCAAAATCGTTGTCTAGCGAAAATCAGTTTGCAAAGCAGGGACCAAACATTGTCCAGTGAAATTCCCCCATAGGAATCACTGTTTTGCGAATCGCTATAGCGATTGCAAAAAGTCAATGTCCAGCGAAAAAACTGTCATGTGGGGTAACTGTCTAGCGAGGCACCACTGTAGGTTCCTTATTCTTCATATGGAGTATGAAGTAGTTCTGTCTGCATCCCACAGTTATAGTGGTTTGACTGGCGTGGTTCCATCCTACCGAACCCTGGGATTTGTGGCTTGTCAGGGAACCTGGACCAGTGTGCTAGAGAGCTTAGTGTGTTCTTGCTGAAGTACAGCAGAGAATCTGAAGCCCCTCACCAAGCTACAGATCCCAAGATTCTCTAGGACGAAACCATGGTTGTTGAAATGGCATTGAATCTTTGCAACTAGGTATTGTAAGCACACTTTTGGCTGTAGAATGTTCCAAGTCTAGGAGTGTGTTCTGTCAAGGTTAGTTGCCAGTTTTGCCTGTCCCCAAAACTTGCTTTAAGTAGGCTGTCAATGCTTCTATTTGAGTCTGATCCTTAAAGTGCAACATGGGCTCCCTTACACAGGGCAGGGTTGGTGGGTGGGAACAACAACTTCGGTGGCCTTGGAAGCCGGATTTCAGCTGCCAGAGCTCGCGGAGGTCACGTGAGGCTTGGAAACGTCTAAATCGGCCATGTCATTTAAAAACAGCAGAGCAGGAGCTGCTAAAATGTATGTTGTTCTGATGCTTTAGGGGTTGCTTGGGGGTGGCTTAGAGACACCCCCAAGATCCCTAGATGAGTACCACTATTCTTGGAGGAGTGGGAATAGCCTTCCTCTTTCAAAAATTATTCTTTCTTTTTTTAAAACAGTGGGGGGCCCTCAGGTGGCCTTGGGAGGCATAGAAATGCCTCTGGGGCTGGATGAGGTTCACAGGGCACAATTTGCCCACCTGGGTCTTACAAACAGAACCTGTAAAAGAAGAGGAGAGGTGTCATTGTGACATAATTGACACCACAGGTTCCATCCACACCCACTTTTTCCCTGAGCCAAAAAACCTACTTTTAGAAAGAAGGAATACAATGACATACTGAAGCCATTCAGAAACAAGCAGTAGCAGGATCATGCTTTTAAGACCTAGAACCTTGTACCACTTTGTATGAATTCCTCTCTCTGTGTAATTCATTGTAATTTAAATTTGTGGTTAATCTGGGTGAGTCAGCCTCTCCGTTTTTGATTCTGGTTGGTGGGTGGGAAATGTTCTATTTTGCTGATATACATCTGGAGGCCAAAGCAGTCGCATCATGTATGGAGTGAATTGTAGAATAAAAATAACACAACCCAAGCAGCAAAATCTTTTTCTTGGACAGTCTTTCACTGATTCCCTCCGGAGAATGGTTTTGCAGTGGCCCTTTGGCTTTTCATAAAGTGGTAACACAACCTTGTTCATATGAAGTCTATGTGAGGTAAAATTTAGGCTCCACTTGTAGCTATATTGGGACTGTCTTTCCCTTCTTTGTACTGTAACCCTCCTTGGTGTCAAAACTCTACTGTGGAGGTGTTCACACAACCATTAACAGCAGGTTTTTAAGAATGCCTGGGAGCTGTTGTGTAGAGAAGGGAAATATGGTCCCAATAAAACTACAAACAGAACCTTGTAGACATATGAACATGGTTGTACTACCATTTTATGTATTTGATCCAATCTATAATCTTAAGTGGATCTTCTGTTGCTAACGAAGTCTCATCAGCAAATAAACTAATCTCAGTTTTATTCTCAAAACCTATACCTCTTATTATAATGTATTCCTAATACTGTTCACTCAGACTTCTATAACTAAATCAAACAGTATCAGGGAGAAGGGACCTCCTTGTCTAGTACCTCAGCCTAGGGACAGTTGCTCTGAGGAACCATCATTCCCTCTCACCATTGCAAAATCTTATGAATGTAATTGATTTACTATATACCTTTAATTTGTGTTCGAAATTCTAATATCTCTGTCAACATGTCTATTGTCGGCCGTTCCACACAATCAAAGGCTTTAAAAATAGCCAGTGCTATTATACAAGCTTCTAATTTTTGTTTACTTATAACATCTGTTGCATTTAATGCCCCTTTTAGTCAAATCTGCCATCTGTCTCCCTACTATAAAACCACTTTGATCCACTTTAATATATTTAGCAATAAAATTGTTCATTCTGTTTGCTAATATTGCTGTAAAATATTTTGCATCTTGGTTTATTAAGGAAATAGGTCTATATAAGCACTAGGGGCATTTCGCCAGTGTCTGTTGCCGGGATCTTCAGAGGACTGGAGTAGGAACTCTGTCCATGCTCTGTAGCAGTTTGTTAGATGGCTTTTGTCCTTTTCAAGAGATAGAGTGATCAGTTTGTTTTTGTTGTGATAAGGAGTGGGGAGATTATCTGTCACTGTGATTGATGGGTGTGGTTAGCTGGTCTTTTTTGTGCAATGATCCCTGGTCCCTGTGGCTGGGTAGAGTTTGTTGACTTTTTGCAGGCTGTATTTTTCATTATTGGGAGCCAGACCATGTTTAATTTTAGGCCTTCTTCCCTTTTGTTGAAGTTCTGTTGATGTTTATGGACTTCAATGGCTTCCCTATGCAGTCTAACATAATGATTGCTGGTGTTGTCCAGTACTTCAGTATTTTGAAATAGAATTTCATGTCCGGCTTGTTTTAGGGCATGTTCAGCTACTGATGATTTTTCTGATTGTTTTAGTCTGTAGTGTCTCTCATGTTCTTTGATTCTGGTGTGAATGCTGCATTTTGCGGTTCCAATATATACCTGTCCACAACTGCAAGGTATCCGGTATACTCCTGCAGTGGTGAGAGGGTCCCCTTTGTCCTTTGCTGACCATAACATTTGTTGTATTTTTGTGGTGTGTCTGAATACTGTTTTCAGGTTGTGTTTTTTCAAAAGTTTCCCCATGCAGTCTATGACTCCTTTGATGTATGGCAGAAATGCTTTATTTGTGGGTGGCTGTTTTTCCTCTTCAGTTTGGTGTTAATTTCTTGGTTCGATGGCTCTTTTGATTTCATTCTTGGAATAGCCATTCGCCTGTAGGGCCCAGTTCAGATGGTTGAGTTCGGTGCTGAGAAATTGAGCTTCACAGTTCCTATTTGCACAGTCTACCAGTGCTTTGATTATGCCTCTTTTCTGTCGTGGGTGGTGGTTGGAGTTTTTGTATAGGTCTGTGTGGGTGGGTTGTCTGGAGACCTTGTGTCCCAATAGGAGGTTAGTTTTGCGTATAACCATGACATCTAGGAAAGGGAGTTGGCCCTCTATTTCTTTTTCCATGGTGAATTGAATATTTGGGTGGATGCTGTTAAGATGGTTTAGAAATTCTTGCAGTTTTTTTCACTGTGGTACCAAATTGCGAAGGTGTCATCCACGTATCGGAACCGGACTGTGGGTGTGAGGGGTGCCAAAGCCAGGGCGTGTAAAAGCCAACTTCTGCATGGAACATTTTGAAAACCAGGCACTGGCTTCAGCATCCTTCACACCCACAAAAGCCCGAAAACCCCACTACTATCCTGGGAGCCTTTCCTACTTTTAATTTATTGATGAAGTATTCCATCTCTTCCTTTTCCATCAAATCCCTATACATCTGTTGTAATTTATTCCTAACATTTTTTCCTCATACATATACTCCAATTTTATCCAACAGAAGTTGTTCGCCCATATACTACTTAGAAAAAAAAATCTATAAAATACATCCAGTTTTCCTTTCATTAAGTCACAGTTCTTACCATTTTCATCCTTAGCTCCCCCAATTCATTTCCACAGTTTGTGTTTGTGTGTGGCTTTGGCCAACAATATTGAATTCTTATTACTAAATTTAAACTATTCCTTTTTCAATAGGTTAAATTCCTCTTATATTTTTTCCCCACTTCCATATTTTGTAACTCTGTTTCTGCTCGCATTTTTGCTAATATTCTTATATTCTTATCAGTTATATATTTTCTCTCCAGTTATTTTATATCCTCTTCCAAACTGTGTTAAATGCTCTATGCTGCTGCTGTTGCTGTTGTTTTTGTTGAAGTCACGAAATGAGAAGGCTGATGGGCTTTGTGATGATCACTAGATAATTAGGATAGCAAATAGTCTGTTAGAGATAGAAGTTAAAGAAGTAAGCCATACACGAAGTGCTCCTGATGGGCGACTAGTCTGAGGAAGCAGAGTGAGAAGTCTTCTCTGCCCTGCCTCCAGGAGGACTGTGCTTTTATTAACCTTACAAGCTCACAGATAGTTGACAGAGTTCAGATAGGACAATGGTTACCTCAAGTCATTATGATTTGGCTAAGGAAAGGCCCTGTGCAAGCTTTCTAGCCCCTATGAGAAAGAAGAATGGTGGGCAGCCATGCCCCTCAGAAGCAGCTGAGACGTCATCCAGGATGATGGGTTTGCCCTCTACTGTAGACTAAGCCAACAGTTTAGCAACCTTGGGAATGGCACCCCCACAGTTTTAAATTACATGCTTCCTTAATATTTATTCCTCTTTTAGTAGCTTTCATTCTGGGACTATTTAGGGACTGCTAGATCCAGTTAAGGTGTTGATCCAGTTGTTTCTCAGGCACCTCCCTCCTCCAACCCAGATTTTCAGGTCTTGATCTGTGTGCTAGTCCCCAAAGAGAACCTGCAAGTTCCCATGGATTTAGTGGGTGTACACTAGCAGAGACTAGCAATTGGATTTAGGCTTCCACATTCTAGCCCTCTGATCATGGCTGTAGTTATTCTCCTTGCATATATTTTATTATCACTGTGATCTTCTCTGATTTGCAATGACTGTGGATTCTTGTAACCACACTGAAACCACTTTCCCCGTAAGCTCAAGTCTGTATTACTTTGATTTAAATATATGAACCAAGTCTTTAGCTTTCATCTCTCCTAATAACTCCAGCTCTCTGTCTTTTGAACAGATGAGCTAACTTCTGAGGTTTCATCTTCCATGAATAGCCAAAACACTCCCTCTCACTCTCTCTCTTGATGAGAGATGGGTGTATTTTGCAAAGTCGGCTCTATCCAGACACAGCTGTTTGATCATATTCCTGTCTAATATAGCTCACTGATTACAGAAGCCAGCAAGATTTCTATAATCCTCATTCTGTGAGTATGCCATACTGGCCTTGTGCGTAGAAACACAGCCCACAAGAAGAAAGCAGTTTTCCAGTTTTCTTGCCGGCTTTTAGATCTGGGTGTCACAGGACCACCAGAGTAAATATTTATTAATCAGTTGTATTTATGGCCTGTCTTTGCCTCCATGAACTCAAGCTACATGGCTCTTCTCTTCCCCACTGAATTTTCAGAACAACAACCCTGTGAGGCAGATCAGACTGAGAGGGAGAAATTGATTGGCCGAGTGTGTGCCCCCCTCTCAAGACTCTTCATGACTCATTGGGAACTAGAGATGGAAATGTTCAACTTCCCAGTCCCACCACTTCACCATGGTGCCTCTATAGGGAGATGGGTGATCTCATCATTACTTCATAACGTGTCGTCAAGTCAGTTCTGATTTGTGGTGACCCTATTCAGAGTTCTCTAGGTAGAGGAGACTCAGAAGTGGTTTCCCATGCCCTTCTTTCGGGGTCATCCTGGGACTGTGCCGCTTGCCCAAGGCTACACAGGCTGGCATTTTCCCCAGGAGGCACAGTGGGGAATCCAGCTTTGCAGCCATATGCCTAAACCAAGGAGCTATCTAGCCAACCATCGTTATTTACCCCAAATATTTATAGCGCTTCTGCAGGGAAGGCCGTTCAATGAGTGTAGGGGGATACAGTTCAGAGGAATCCCTCAGTGTTGGATTTACAGAGAAGGGCGTGTTCTGCATATATGGGTCAGAATGAGAGGACAGTGTTCCCCCCTTGAGGAAAACTGATGGTAAACAAACACACCTGGGGCATGTGTGTGGGTCTGGGTGTGACATGTGGCCTTCCAGACATTTTGAGTTACAACTCCCATTGCCCTCTTAGTAGTATTGACTACGGTAGCTAACAGCAACATGCTAACTATATCAGCTTTGAAAAACCGGTAGCGTGGAGGAGACGGGAGGAACCTGAAAGAACAAAGAAGGAAGAAGAGGCAGAGTTGCCCAGCCCAATTTCAGTATTTACAATAAGAATAGCTAATACACGGGTATATCCACCCCCCCCATCACCTTTTGCCTGCAGTCATCTGTAAACCAATGATCTCTATCCCTGTTTGAAACTGTTAGTACAAACCTGTGGCCCACGGGTGAATAAAAATGGCTTCATCCTGACCCGGCTGACTGAATAGCTTAGGGAATTGGGAGTAATTGGTGGGGAGTCAATTCCCCACTGTAGCTCGTGGGAGAAGAGCACGTCTGTGTAGCCCTGGCTGAGATGCATGGATACAGGGTGCTCCCAGAAGAAGGGAACGGGAAATCAGTCCGAGTATTCTTTTTTTTTTAAAGGGGTTGCTGTAAATCAGAATCAAGTTGATGGCACATAATTAATAGCTGGCTAGATAGCTCAGTGAGTTAGACATCTGGCTGCAGAGCGAGAGGCCAGAAGTTCAATTCCCCTCTGTGCCTCCTGCAAATAGAACCAGCCTGTGTAATTTTGGGCAAGCTGCATAGTCTTAGAGCAGTGGTTCCCGACCTTGAATCCCCAGATGTTCTTGGACTAAAACTCCCCAGAATCTCCACCACCAGCTGTGGTAAACAATATTTGAGTACCGTCTACCTAGAAAATCCTGCCAAGGGTTGCCATAAATCAGAATTGATTTAATGGCACATCCTCCTCCTCCTCCTCTTGACCTAGGGGAGAACTAATTTTATCTCTATCATTTCCTTTTATATATATTCCTCACTGATAGGTCTTTCCCAAAAGGAAATAGCAGCTTTTGGCTAGGGATGTCTCCTGAAAGGGTAGAGAAGAGTCAACTCACAGTTATGGGGAAGATGAAGTCATTTTGATATCAGCTTTCTCTCCCCCCCCCCCACCGCAGTGCCTGGTGGCTGGTCAGCTTGGAGCGCCTGGAGCCATTGCTCAGTGACCTGCCTCAAAGGGGTGCAGACCCGGAAGCGAACCTGCACCAGCCCAGCACCAGTATGTGGAGGCACCTGCGAAGGAAACGGTGAAGAGAGACAGCCATGTGACACTCGGCAGATCTGCCCAAGTACGTCTGGGCAGCCACAGGACTAGGGAAGGGCACGGGGTTGGTGGGCGGCCTACTGGGAAAATGGGTGGCGTGAGTTGTTGGGAGAAGGTGGGCAAGGAGGGGGGAAGGAAGGTCAAAAAACAGGTAAGAGCTAGAACTTGGAAACACTCAAGCTCCCAGAATCCTTTACTTTGCAGGGGGATTCTGAGAACTTTAGTGCCAACATGTAATTTTTCCAAGCTTTGATAAGGGCAGATTGGGTATGGACTTTACTGTAAGTATATATATACTAGAAGTAGACTCTTGGGTGTGTTGCTGGATGACAGTTTCTGCTATTTCTGGTCAGTGTGGCTGAGGGTGATATAAAATGGGAGTTGTAGCATAAGAACATGCTGGCAGATGCATGATTCCCACTCTGAAGTATGTTAATAAACTACGGCATGTGTGTGTGTGGGTGTGTGTGTGTGTGTGTGTGTGTGTATATATATATATATATAGAGGCTGGCTGGCTGGCTGGGAACACTTATGTTATTATTGCATCTCTTTTCCAGAGAGGATACTGGCCTGAAACTTTAACTGATAAATTGAAGAGGGTCAGTGTTAATTCCAAAAGATATAAATTAAACACATGTCCATGATCTGCTCTTTTTAAAAATGTCTGCTTTACTGCAAAATGAAAAATGAGAAGCAAAGTCTTTAAAAGGAGCCATTTCTTTGTTAAGAGTGATAGCTCTGGAGTATTAAATTGTAAGGTCTCATATTTCCTTCAATATGTTTTTCTGAAAGGAGCTGAGAGGGATGGACACAAGAGTGGGGAATGGGAGTATATTGGGGGAAAACAGGGAAGATAGAGCAGCGCCGTGGATTGAAAAAGGGGTGGAGCAGCTGCAGTGCATGGATCCTCAGATCAAGGGAAGAGGAGTCGGTCAGGGATCAATGGAGGGCCTTATAACGGAGATGGACCAAACTTTGGAAAAAATAACTCTCTCTCTTTTTTACTCTCTTCTCTCCTCATGTAGCCCATGGGAACTGGGGAAACTGGGGAAACTGGGAGTCCTGCCCTGCCACCTGCACTCTTGAAGGCTCGGGCCAAAAGCCCCAGAAGCGCCGTCGTCGTCTGTGCAACAACCCTTCCCCTTCCACAGCCCCGCCTGGCAACCATTGTCAAGGAAGTGACCTAGACCACCAGGAGTGCGTGGGACTGCCCTATTGTCCACGTAAGGAGAACTGGGTTATGCAGCCACCGCTTAGCCCCTGTGCCTGCTCACGGGCAATGACCTCAGCAAGCTCCAGTCCTTACTTGTTTTCACTTCTGGAAAATATTAAATAAATAAAAGGCCAGAGACCATGATTCTTAATGTCTTGTATCTGGTGGCCGGCCCTATTGTTAGGTACACTTAGGGAGGAGGCTGCCTCCAGCAGCAAGGTACCATGAAAGGGGAGTAAATGGTTAGTTACGGAATTAGTGATTACTGTATTTTTACCACGAGGGGAGGGAAGAGGTGCTTGTGAGGTTTCCGTTCTCACGTGCTAAAAGAATTTGGATGCTGGGTTGTCAATCGACCTCCGGTAGGGAAGCTCTTGAGCCAGCACTACTCATATCGTTTAATTTCATGAATGTCCCTAAAGACGTTACCTGTAGTTAGCTCCTGTTTTCAATACCAAAGTGGTAACAACTAATTACCTTTAAAAAGTAACTTTCCAAACTTGGGTTATACACGACAGCTCCCACCGTCCCTGTTGGTCACATTAGTTGGGGAAGATGGTGTTGGCAGTCCATGCCGTCTTAAAAGGCTGTCGTGCAGGTTGAAGAAAGCAAAGGTGCTGGGTAAGGCAGACCTCGGCAGCCGAGGGAACAGGAAGAGGGGCCTGCCGGCTTCCTTGGGAGCTCCCTTCTGAACAAGCCAGTGGGATGGGATGGGAAAGGACTGGTGGGCTGATCTCTTGCAAGCGTTCACTTCCTCCTCTGTTTTCTCTCCCCAACTTTGTGTTGCGACGCAGAGAACGGCAACTGGGGCAGCTGGAAGGTTACCAGTCCCTGCTCAGTGACCTGTGGGGTCGGACGCGTGGTGGAGAAGCGCCAGTGTGACAACCCTGCACCAAAGCATGGCGGGATGAAGTGTCAGGGGGAAGACGTCCGCCATCGTCCCTGTGTCACTGGACAGCCTTGCCCAGGTAGGGGAGAGGGAGTTGGAGAAGAGAGGGGGCAGCTCTGGTGAGTTTCTCGGGTGAGGGAAAGAGGGGACACCCCCTGAGCACAGAAGACCATGCACAGAGAAAAGGGTGGTCAGCTTGCTGCTGAGGTACGTGGTGTCCCTCCCGCCACCACTCCATTGCTGGAGCTGAGGAGGCTTATTAGGGGAGCAAACCAATGCCCGGGAGCTCCTAGATGTTCTGGACCTCTTTATCTGCCAGAGCTTGGGAAGGAAGGTTCTCTTTTGGGATTATGACTCCTAGGATTCCCCAAGCACCACCACCACCATTGGCCATGCTGGCTGGGGCATTCTGGGAACTTCTCTGTGTTCTCCCCTTCTCCCAGACTCCCCCTGGGGATGCCAAGCTGGCGGTGGAACTGAAAGGTTGGGAGCATCTGCGCTGGAGCTGCCAGATGCCTACAGGATCCTGGAGCCCCTTGTGCCCCACCTTCCCCACTAAGTCTCTCTCGCAGGTGGAGTTGTGAGAGATTAGGAGCTGGCGCAGCCCGATTCCTCCCATCAAAGGCAATGGGAGAACGTAAAGGGATGACAGACAATGTGTTTTCTTCCGCACTTTTTGCCTACAGTGGCATGGTTGACATGGCGTGTGTTAATGACAGCCCTGCCCTGGCAGACCTCTCCTGCAGCCCTCCTCTGCCCAGGACAGATGGACGTAAATCCAGTTGTCAATCCCAAATTAATGCAGACTCATTCAGTCAATAGATCTTACTTAAACCAGTCTTGATTCAGTTGTTTGTATATGTATCAGTGCTTTCCAGTCTTGGGCCCCCAGATGTTCTTGGACTCATACTCCCAGAAGCCTTCACCACTAGCCGTGTTGGCTAGGATTTCTGGGAGTTATAGTCCAAGAACATCTCAGCTTTTGGCGACCAAGTGCACTGTCACCCCTTCTCCATGCTGACCAATTTTCCTGACCCTTGTTTTGAAACTATTCCCACAGTGGACGGACGGTGGCTGGCGTGGTCTAACTGGGGCAAATGTGAATGGCTTGGCTTAGGAACGGGCATCCATTGTCAAGAGATTCCTGGGCTTCAGAGCAGAAGGCGGAGATGCATTGGGAAGGCCCACAATGGCAAATCTTGTGACGGAAAAATCAGTGAATCGAGGACTTGCTACAATATCGAGTTTTGTAGTTGTGAGTATTGTGTGCCATGCATGACGGAGGTGGGCTGGTTAGGGCAAATGGGACACTGCACCATCTCATGCTCTAGTTGCCCCTGGACTGCATACTTGTGCCTCGCTCCTTTCCTTCTGTATATCAGTGCATGTCTGCTTGCCTGCCTCCCTCTCTGTAGGTAGGTAGGTAGGTAGGTAGGTAGGTAGGTAGGTAGGTAGGTAGGTAGGAAGGAAGGAAGGAAGGAAGGAAGGAAGGAAGGAAGGAAGGAAGGAAGGAAGGAAGGAAGGAAGGAAAGGGTCTCTCTTGGGGTGAATGCCTGTGTGTGCATGTGAATATAAATGCCCACTTTTGGCCCCTGCTGACCTTGTCATCCAAGGCTCCACCCACGACTGTCTGCTTCATTGCAGGCGGAAGTGGAAGATCTCTAGGATGTAAAGCCTTCTGTTTTGATCCATATGGCTGCTGCTTCTTCTCTTAGTGCCAGGATCCTGGTCAAACTGGAGTCCTTGGAGCCTCTGTGAGCCACCGTGTGGGCCAAACCCCGTGAAAACACGCCAGAGAGACTGCAAGCCACAGTATCCCAATTACCCGTGAGTCTGAAATGAGGGAAGGGAAGGGTTTGGGTTGGAAGGGGGGGGGAAGGTAAGGCGTTTCCTTCAAAGGCAGTGGAGGATGGACTGTTAAGGGAAATGAGTCATCATCCTGCTACTTGGTGGCTGGAAAAGAGGACAGGAGCCACATTTTCTCCCCAGCAAAGAATCAAGTACTGTACAGTATGATGGAAGCCTTCCAGAGCCAACTGCTGAGAAGAAATTTGTAGCTTTCTTACCCTTGTGTGACAACCTGATCTTTCTGAAATGTCATCTATGTGCAAGAGGTTTGTCGTCCTTGATCTCGAGGCCATCATGAGTTGATTTCTGTAGGTCTCCTTAGCTGCCATATGTGAGCTGTACATGGCAATCCCCTTACGTGGCAGGGACGTTTAGATGCACTGAAAACTCAACAGCATCAGAACAAAAGCAGGTCTTTCAGCTTGTGTCATGGACCTTCATAGGCTTACTCAGAAGTAAGTCTCCCCATGCTCAGTAGGCTTACTCCTGGGTAGAGAGCTTTGCTTGCTGGGCCTCTTCGTCTTTCAGGTCCCCTGCACCCAGTTCTTAAGTCAGGACATGGAGAGTCAGGCTGGCAGCCGTTCTGGAGTACGCCTGCATCACACTGTCCTTTCATGCCACTTTTGATGGCTCTGACTTTAGCCTCAGGAATTCTGGGGCTGGTAGTTCAGGGAGGTTGTTTGAAGTCTCTGCCAGACAACTCTAAGGCAATTCTTTGAACTACAGAGCTAGAGAATGTTAAGCTCTTTTCAAGATTGTGAATCCCAGGATCCCATAGGATAGAACAATAACAAACCAAAGGGTAATCAGCCAGCAAAAATGGTGTGGTGCAGACGCAACCTTAATACCGTATTTTTCCATGTATAAGACTACAGCCTTAATACCGTATTCTTCCATGTATAAGACTATACTTTTGTCTAAAATCTTTAGACCAAAAAATTGGGTCGTCTTATACATGGAGGTAAGCTGGGGAGAAAAAATAAGTAGAGGGGAAAGCAGGGATCAAAGTGATCCTGCAGGGCTTTGATCCCTGCTTTCCCCTCCACTTGCTAAGCCTTAGCAAAAGGAAAGCAGGGATCAAAGTGCTGCAGGATGGCTTTGATCCCTGCTTTCCCCTCTGCTTGCTAAGTCCCATGGGGCTTAGCAAAAGGAGGGGGGAAAGATCAAAGCAATCCCATGGCTGTATAAAAAGGAAAGGGATCAAAATGATTATGCAGTCATGGGATTGCTTTGATCTGTTTACCCCTCCTTTTGCTAAGCCATGCGGGGCTTAGCACAAAGGGAGAAAGCAGGATCAAAGCCATCCTGCAGCACTTTGATCCTTTTTACCCTACATTTGCTAAGCCCCACATAGATTTTTAAATTTTGGGTTAGAAAAGTGGGGGGGGGGGCGTCTGCACAGCCAGCGGTGAGAGCACGGTTCAGCTGGGATTATCAGCAATGGGTATCGTTGCCCTACTGAAGTCAGACTGGAGAGGACAGGAGAGTAAAGCATGGACCTCCTGAGCCAACTTGGCCCTTAGCTCTGAACCTTTCTTTCCTGCTGCAGGATGATGGTGGAAGGAGAGAATGGGGTGATGCAAGATGTCCACTTTTGGGGGAGGCCATTACCCTCGTGCGAAAAGTTGCAGGGGCAGAGCCTGAAGGTGGAGGAACGAGCCCCGTGTTTAAATGTGCCACCTTGTGAAGAAGGTGAGGAGAAAAGTGGCATAAAATGCCCGTGATGATCGGGGCTGGGAGTGGGGAAGGGGCACATGAATTGCACTTCTGATTCTGGGTCAAGCCAAAAATGGCGGCCTCGGGAAGCGCAGCTAAGATGTGAAAACAGCTGCAATGTTTAGCCTTGAAGGGGTGGGGCTGCCTTTCTGGCAAATGGTAGCAGCGGCAGCTATTCTTTGGAGGTTGTGAGGGCACAGCCCCCCTTGAGACTGAGGATCTTCAAGGGATTTGGGACAGAGAGCTAAGGAACCACCAAGGTAGGGGGTAGGCAATGGTGGTCCCTCTGGATTTTAGAATGCCTCTCCCATCATCCCTCACAATTGGCCAGGCAGGCCGGACAGGATGGGCGGGGGAAGGTCCAAGAACTCTTGCCCACTCCTGTGTCAGAGGGAAGCACCGCTCTCCATGTGGTTTCCCGTTTAAAAGATGCCATTTGGATGGTAGAGGGATGATGTGCTCATGGCGGGAGGCGTTTGGGACAGCGTTTCTATGAGATAAAGCCTGCTCAGGTACCCAGGGTGGTGTATTGGATAAAATGATGGATGAAGACTCAGGAGACCTGGGTTTGAATCCCAGCTTGGCCATGGAAACCCATGGGCTGGGTTGGCACCGGTAAAGCCACGTCTTAAGTACAGTATCTCACTTACCTTGAAATCCCTAATTTGGACTGCTGTACATTGGTTCTGACTTGACAACACAGAACAAAGTTTGTTTGCTGTGGAAGATGCTAAAGGCGAAGGACGGGTGGGGTGCAGTTGGTCAGCAAGGTGGGTTAACCACAGCAACAATAAATTGCTGCCCCCCCTCCTATCCCACTGCTTGTAAAATTAGGCTGTTGATTTAAAATGGCAGAAAGCTGGGGCTGTGGTTATACTAAGAGGAGCTATTGCTGTGGCAGGACTATGAACTCAGTTATGATATTGGAAGGAAAAATCACAGAGGCACCCCTTGTGTCTTAATTCTAAATTTTAACAAGCATTTTGTTCATGGGCATCTCTTGAGTTCTAGTAAAAATAAATAAATCAAAGCGAAGTCCTCAAGCTGACATCTAGGATTCCTGTACTCATTCCTATCCTTCTTTACTCTAAACCTCATTTTGCTTTTTCTCACAGGTTGATTTTGCACAAGCAGGCACTCTGAATTTCAGGACTGGATACTTCTGCAGACTGGAGCATGAGGAGCCGTGGTCCGAGCTGGTTTCAGCCTCCCCGTGACCTTGGGACCCCTTCCCCCTGCATTGCATGCTTGCTCTTTTTAAGGCAGTGGTCTTGAGAATGATCTGTATAATAGTGTTGTTGTTTATTATGTGTCTACCCATACTGTAATGGGATATGAATGAATCATAAACCTTTTCCATATTCAGTTTTTCCCCTTCACTTCCTTGCATTATTTGAAATGATCTTCTGTGTGATTCTTATTTTTGCATTTTTAAAACATTTCACAGAGTATCAATCCAATGTTTTCCTCATGGGAAAACCACAATTTTTAGTGGTTTTGGAGGCATGAATTTTAAAACTTCAGTGCAGACGTGAATTCTGGTAAGTCCTGCAGGACAGCTTTGACCAATTCGAACCAATTGTGATGAAACTTTGCCTTTGTCCTCTAGCTTTCTGATGCATTGGCTATTCACCTATATGTGCCTGCATTTATATTTACGTGCATTTATTTGTAAGAATTCTGTACTGGGGAGTGTTCCAGTCCCAACCTGCAATCTGGATACAGCCTGTCCACCTCAGGGTTCTAGCTGTTCTTTTTACTTGATGTCACCCTTCCATCTGAGGAAGGTAGGAGAAAGACAAGAAGAAAATTTCATCATCTTCCCTGTATCTCTATAGGAGGTGAGAAGACAAAATGAAGCATAACCCAACCACTCTAATGCAAGGAAACTAAATTAGCTCAGTGGGTTTATATCTGTGGCTACAGAGTCTGATGTTGGGAGTTCAATTCCCCACTGTAGCTCCTTGACATGGACTTGGCTCAAGGATCCATAGATTTTCTTCCAGCTCTCCAGTTCTAAGATGATGATGATTCTGACGATGTCTCTGTATACTCCTTCGGAAAGGAAACAGATTTATTCAGTGGAGACAAGTGGAGCACTGCCTCTCCTCAAGCTCAGGTTGCCCATATCCAGCCCACTTCTCAGGCATAATTCTTTTCTGAAGCTACCTTAAAAGGAAAATGCAATTGCTCTGAATTGCATTTAAATGCAATTGCCTTCTCTGCTTGCACATGGCTCCCAGTCCTATGCAGCCATGTTGGTGAACATAGGCCTTTTAATTGCCAGCACCATTTTCTATAGAGAATATGGAAAGCTCTCCCAACTCAAGTGCTGGCAGGGATGATCAGCTCCTGCCTCCAGATCAATGATAATGCAAGACATTTGAGCATTAATCTTATTCCCCTGGGTGTTTTTCTACTGTTTGAAGCATGCACATAAACAAGAATATGCATTTCCTGTATGCACACTATGAGCAAAGACTAGGACTTGTAGGGAAAAAAAGATTTGTTTCTTTTCACCCCAGACATACAGTTCTACAGAATAGCTTTGCAATGATTTACCTCTATTGCTGCTTTTTCTAGTACTGTACATTTCTACTTTCAAAAACAAGGAAACTCTGATGTGCTACTTGGGAGTTGTAGATCTTCATTCTTTGGGAGCATGTAATGGGCAGCAAGACTACAATGCCAGGTAGCACCATGACAACTTCCTTGTTTTTGAAAATAGAAGCAATCAGGAGGAAGTAGCAAAGGAGGTAAATAACTGGAAAGCCACTCTGTAGACTTTTCTTTCTGGGCTGCATATCACCAAATTCTGCCTGAAGAATTTATTTATTTATTTATATTTATTTATTTAACTTATGTGCCGCCCACTCTACCCAAAGGTCTCTGGGCAGCTTACAACAATTAAAATACATGGTGTATTTTAATTATTGGTGAATTCTTGTGGGTTGCTGTCCTAAAACACAAAAGAGCATGTTCTGCTTGCCTGTTGCTATGTTCAGTCACATTTATGTGATTTTCAATTGAGAGTATATTTTAAAAACACAGATCATGCTGTTTTTAGTTACTCTTGAGTTGCTGAGTCCTTGATTTGTGAGTAGACCTTGTGTGTGGTAAGTCTGGTATTTGGTTGCTTTGTGAGGCTTGCATCTTGAGTAAAAACGAAGGAAGACAGTTGTACTGAAGGGAGCTATATTATAGAAGTGTACTTCAAAAATATTTACTTGAGGCTTCTAAGTAAATCTAGTCTTTGTGAATAGATCTGAATTGTTATTGGTTTTTGTTTGTTTTACTATGATGCTTTGTCATCTGGATAAACTGGATTATATATATTATTTTGCATAGTAAAATATAAATCGAAACTAATTAAGGTGGATTATGATTAAAAGACAGGAATGTTGGCAAGCCTTGGGACTTGAATTCCAAGTCCAAATTATAGGTTTTGGGCCTGAGTCCCAAGTCCTGAGTCCATGTTTCAAGTCATTTGCCCTCCCCCCCGTGGCATAATGGCAGTTTCTTGTCAAAGTAGGCCAGTGTCTTTTCATGAAAATTTGCTCTTACTGATACCAGAGATAAATGCAGCTTTCTCCTTAGCTCTTATTCCCAAGCTTTAATTAATATTGCTCAGAAATCCATTCTCTTATAGGCTCTATTCCTCCCTCCCCAACCCTAACCCTAGAGAATGTCCTCCTGCATGTATGCACATTTCTATGTACAAGAATGTATACCTGAATGTGAGCATATGTATTTTTCTGATAGCAAGGGGGCACTGCTATATGTTAAAGAGGAAGCCTTCCTGCCTATCTCTGATCACATGGACCACGGGTTGGTGCACTTTGGGAATGAGCTGGTTTTCTCCATTTTCTGGTGACCACCTGATGTACAGACAATTGAGAACCAGCCCATATCTTTTTGGGTCCCTGGCAAAGGTATGGCTTTCTTAGTGCAGGTAGGATCACTCCAGCTTGGTTTGGTCCTGGAATTTGTAATAACCGGTATCGAACCAAAGCAGATCACGTAGCTGTTCCTTGGCTAAAGCCTCTGGAGGGTCTAACCTTTGTGCAGCTGGGAAAGATGCTGTTTATTAATACATTTAAAGCTTCATCGAGTTCCCCCCTGTGCAGGGCGAAACAAAAGATATTGAGGTTTTTGAATTGAAAAAAAAAATATCCCTTGCAATCCAGCACTGAATTGGTTGAGTGGGGGAAGCCAATTCAGGGCTATGCCACTTAACAAATATATTTTTCTATGTTGTAGATTTCCTTGCTCCCTCACAGAGAAGGGGGAAAAGAAAGGGATACAGAAGGGGATTTTTTTTTGGTTATTTTTTTTCTTCCCCTTTAAAGGGAGGAATGGGCTAACTAAATTCACCTGAGGTGCAGTGAGATTACGTATCCCCCAAACCACCTGATCCTTGCGTGTGGGTGCAAGAATCATCCCAAATAACATACCTGTTCAGTTCAGTCAAGCCAAGGACAATGTCTGGTGAGCTGTTCACTCACAGGAACACCTACCCAGGCATGTGCACCAGCGACAAAGATGGACTGTGGGCACACAAATGCTCACGTGTCATAAAGGACACCAATGGGTTTACCTCAGGTGCTCTTTAGCTTGGTGTCTTTCATCTGTGTTGGACTACAGCCTCTATTACCCCCAGCGAGCAAGGTCATGGAGTGGAAATGGCATCTGTTTTTTTCCTATATAGCAGTGGTCCCCAACCTTGGGCTTCCAGATGTTCTTAGACTACAGCTCCCAGAAGTCTTCACCACCATCTCTGCTGGCCAGGATTTTTGGGAGTTGAAGTCCAAGAACATCTGGAGGCCCAAAGTTGGGGATCACTGCTATATAGTACATACAGGCGGAATCCCTAATACCAAACATATACGGGCTGCTGACAGCTTGAGTTCTCTGATACCTTGAAAACATTACTGACACACCAAGGCACAGTTCAACGCTACTTTATTGAAACTCATGAATTACAAATAAAAAACTGTGTGGGGGTATGCGTGTGTGCAGACGTGGGAAAGTTCCCCTTCAGTGTGCCTGAGAGAGTCTCGTGCAGAAAGTCTTTGGTCTTGGATTTAATCGCCCAGGGACAAAGGTTCCTGGTCCACTTCTTCTCCCAGAGCTTCCTTGTCGGTCCTGCTCCTGCATGCAGAGTGACTCAGCTGCCATTTCCCCTTTCTTGCATTTTTCTCGTAAATCCCTCACATGTTTGCCCAGAGGAAACCAAAACAGAAAGTGTCTTTGAGGCATTCTCTTGGTTTCATTGGCTGAGATTCTCTCCGAGGGAAGACTGCGTTTCAGTTCTCCATTCCAGGGCTGATCAGAGCCTGAATTTGTTTTTTCATTTCACTGCCAGGACAGCTTTGGCCAGCTCAGTCGTTTCCTGCCCTGGCCTAGGTTAATGTTGACCTTTAGCTTATTTATCTTTATCTTCTCCCCTGCCTCCTTTTGGGAAAGACTTGTAGACTGAAATCTTACTCTCTGTCTAGAGAGGAAGAGTCTAGTATACAGCCACTGTGTGTGCTCCAGTTCCACATATGAATCATGCTACAAAATGTTGCAGCATGCAATGCACCTGTTCACTATTTAATTCCGACTGTTTTCTAGAATACAGCAGGATACTTGTATCCATGGGAAATGATTCCAAGCCACCTTGGATGGATGGTGAAAATTTGGATTATAGTGAATGCTGTTTTAATAGCAAACATTATAAATAGCATGCTCTCCCGCTCCCTTATGGCCAATTCTAGAAATTTCATCTTTAGAAATATATATTTCTAGGATTTTTCTTTCAATATTTTTTAATATGTTCAGACCATGGATAAATGAATCAGCAGATACTGATCCTGCAAATAAGGGAGTCTTGCTGTACTCCTTTCTACTCCCCATCAGGTTTCCATTTTTAGTTTGCAACCATTCTTCTTTGGCCATTGACTATTTTGGGATTTTCCTTTGCAAACACATTCTCCCTCAAGATGATTTTGTACTTCTGCAAACCTTAGCATTTCCTCAGGTTCACCTGGCAGCTCCCCTCTTAACGGTTGTCGTGGGTTTTTTGGGCTCTTTCCCCCTCTTAACCTTTGCTAGTACTGTTTGATCTACATAAGGATTATTGCTTATAAGGACTGGGATAGATAAGAGTGTGTAGGATATCTAAATGGAGCTTCCACATAACAAAAGCAGTATACATCTAGTCGCACAATGGAGCTAGGGCTTGTCAGGTTGAAATCCTTGGACTTTCTGATTACCAGGGACTATTACATTATCTGTCATGTCCTTTAGACTGCTGTGTTCCCTCTGAACTTAACTGCTGTCCTCCTGGGCCACTGGGAGAGATGTGGATTCACCTAAGAACAGTATCTTGTTGCAAGCTATCCTTGTTATAGAGCAATGCAATTTTTTGAGAGTAATTTGGAATTGTATAGGCAATCAAGAGCCATTCCCTTAAAAAAAGACCTGTTTCTTATTTGTTGATATGCACCAATCCAGCTGCCAAAATTTTTAGACTCTCCTGGAAGAGGACAGCAAGGACGCTGCAAGGAGATTCTTCTCTTAGGTGCAGATATTACAAATATTACCCTTTTAAAAAAGAGTAAAGTTCGTAGAATCCATGAGGGCTGGGGAATTGAGCTGTAATACCCCCACTAACATTTTGATGTGAGGAAAAGGACCCTGATTTGGAAGTGAAATTCCTTTGGAACCAAACTAGGGTTTGTTTGTTTGTTTTTTAAAAAACAGCAGTGGGTTTAAAGCAGAAATGGGCAAACTCTGCAAGTTTGGGACCTATTTTTCCCAAACCTAAGATCCTCCAAGGCCCACACCAACTTCTCAAAATCAAAACAGATGTGGCAGGAATGTCACAAACATTTTGTCTTTTAAAAAACTGTTTTTTAAAAGAGGAGAATCGTAAAACCCAAAGAATCAAGATTCTCCAGCTTGTATGTGTGTTTGTGTGTGTGTGTGTGTGAGAGAGAGAGAATCGGTGAAATTTGTGGGTATGTGGTTGAGCTCTAGCAGGCACTGAAAAAGACTAGTGGGTGGGCCCATGAGACATACACAGGGCAGAAAAAGGAATAAGAGGTTGTACTAAAGAGTTTTTGAAGGAAGGCCCATGATAGAACAGGAGGAACAGCAGCTTCCAAGAAATAAGGAGGGTGGAAAGGAGGCAATCAGGACTTCTGGGTCCAGCCCTAGAAAGAATGAGACACACCAACCATGCCCCAGCCTGGCAGACTTTCCAGATGTGTTGGGCCTGGATGATGGAAGAGGTACGCCAAAATATTAAGAAGCCCTGGGGGTTGAGGAAGGTTGGGGCTGTACAGTAGTGCCAAGGACAAAGCCAAGGACGATCAAGGAATGGGGGAAAGAGTCTCGTCTGCTTCCTGGATTTTCTCCTTCTGAGATGATTCTCTACTGAATCGGGCAGAAGGCCCTGCTGGGCTGGTGGTCCATGGCGGAAGCCTCTGTGAGCGGGGAGAATCTGGGGTTGTGTTGCTCTTCTGATTAATTGGGGAGATCTGTTGAGAGAGCAAATGAGAGAGTGAGTTGGTTAGGAGACCTGATGTCTCCACCCACCCACAATCATATGCACTCTATGTATTATCAATATATAAGTATCCCATATATTGAATCTCTGTCTCTCTTCTCCATTTTTCCCTTTCTGTACTTATAATAATTACATACAGGCACTGGGACACCACATGGTTTCTGTTGAACAAGAATGAGGTCCTATTTGGGGACAACTTAATGTGCTAAATGACATTTTTTTCTGTCCTGAATTCCTATAGCCGTCCTTGCCAGCCTCCATTTGCATATAGTACCTCTGAGAGGCCGGCCCTGCTATTAGGCAAAGTCAGGCCGCTGCCTCAGGTAGCAAATGCTCAGGGCTGGTCACCAGTGGCGGCCCTCCAACTTTTCCTTCTCAAGCTCCCTTACTTTTCTCTTTTTTTAGAGGACAGAACTATGTTCACAAAGCATCTCTTTCACCCTCTAACATTGTTTGCTGCCCTCCAGTGTGTCAGAGAACCGTATTGCATTGCGAGGGCAGAAGAAAGGTTCTGGTCGCGTTCCGTAGGTGGAGTAGATAGACAGACCCATGGGCCAGCCCTGTCTCTCCGCCTCTGTAGCTTTCTTCCTAAAAAGCCAACAATCATCTATACAAAAGCACTTGGTAATCATGGGTGAATGAACCTAAAGCCTGCCCTGTGCTCTTTCAATGTTAGCGCTTGACATCTGCAGGTGAAGAGGAGAACTCCCTCCTCCCACTGATCAGTCATCAGTGTGGCAAAAGAGAGACTTATTTTAGAGTGCATTTTCCCCACCCCCACAACACCACTACTGCCTTACCTGTGAGCCACGTCCTGCAGGTAGCCAGGAAGGGTGTTGTTTATATAGAAAATGTGCTGCTTATATACTGCCCCACAATGCTTAGAGCACTTTCTGGGTGGTTTCCAGCATACTGTGCAAACACCACCACCACCACCACCATCACCATCCCGCGAGCTGGTAGTCAGTTCTCTGACATTGGAAGGATAGAAGACTGAATCAACTTTGAGCCAACTGCCTGAGACCAGGATTGAACTTAGGTCACAAGCAGAGTCTTCACTGCAGTACTGCAGTTTAACTCCCGAGCCACAAGGCTCCCACCCCTTTCTCCAGGTAGGAAACATCTAGATATGTTGACCTGCAACTCCCTTCATCACCACCTACTATGGTTAATGACTGGATAGAGGGGAGGCAAGAGACATAGGGAGAAAGGGGAATTTGAGAGGCTTACCGGGGGACTGAGGCTTGGACGTGTCTCTGGGCAGCTCCGGCGGGGGGCACAGGTGATGACAGAAGGACGCATCTGAAAGATCAAGTATACTTCTATGGATAATTTATTCATAGTAATTATACTCCACTTTGGATAATCTGTGGTGTAGCTTGATAGATTGATGGACTAGGACCCAGGAGGCCTGGGTTCGAATCCGTTGTCAGCCATGGAAGCTCACTGGGGGGCGTGGAACTGGTAAAACTACTCCTTAAAATCTCAATTATTGTTCAAGCACTATTAGGGTCTCTATAAGCCACTTCGACTTGATGGCACACAACCATAGCAGCGTACTCCCCTTTATAGTTAGAAACTCTTTTACAGTAGACTTGACAGGTCAATATTAAAAAAGTGACAAGAAGTCCTTGCCCTCTCACTTAACAACCTTAAAAAGAGGGGACCGCATTAAAGGAACAGGCGACCAGGAGGGAAAAGAAATGTTAAAAGAGATGGAGGGAAAGCTGGTCCAGGACTCACTTGCTGCAACTGGGACATGGTGAGGGAGGCAGGATCCACCAGAGGCTTCCTCAAGGGGCATCTGTGAGGGCAGGATGGGTGAAGCACTGGAGAAGAATCCCTGCAAGGCTCGGTTCTGGGTGTGGTAACACAGGACACAGCCGGGGGCAGACCTGGGAGTTGTGAAGCAGGCAGAGCCACCTGTTCTTGAGAGCTGGAAGAAAGACAGACACCTCAGGACAAGAAATAAATATGCAGTATATAGAGCTGGATCAATCATCCTGCTGACTCTGCTGCTGCTGCTGCTGCTCAGAACTGAGACTGAAGGGTGAACTCCTGTGCTGCCATACTGTCTCAGTGGCATCTGAGGACTTCGCCTCAGGACACAGCAAGAAGGAAGGCATAGCAGGATGCTCCCAAACCATGGGCGAAAAACCCTCTCCTCTTGAGACCTCTCATGCCTCAGAATTACGGCAGGGCACAGCAGGGACCAGGGCCTCAGGTCAGAAGGTGTGATTTCCAGGGTGGCTTGAGCCTCCTCAGCTGGTTCTTTGAAGGATAACCCCTTCTCCACAAGAAAGAAGGCCAGATGCCTGACCACCCACTAGACCTACTGAGGATTCTCTCTACAGTTTGAGATGGCGGGGGAGCAGAGTCTGCCACAGGAGTTGCCCACCCCGAGGAACAGGCTTCTGAATCTTACCAAGGAACTTCAAAGCGACGTAATCACAATCTCTCAGCCTGATTTACCTCACAGGGTTGTTGTGAAGAAGAGAAACCTAGAGTATGGGGGAAAACTCATGTCCGTGCATGCTTCACAACCCGTTGGAGAGTGGGCTTCTCTAAGGCACCAAGAGAGGACAACATGGCATACCAATGAGGATGTTCTGAGACTTCACAATATGATTCTGAGCACGTCCAAGAAAACCCACTAATACAGATGCTAATTCTTCAGCTCTTTTAGCAGCTGGCCCTGCTTTACCATGAGGCAGAAGAAGCAAAAATAGCATGTAGATCGCAAAAGCAGAATCGGGGGCAGGGCCCTGCTGTTTCTCCTGAACTACCTAGCCATTCCCATCTTATCTTAACCTTAGAATTGCAGGGCTGGAAGGGACCCTATAGATCATCAAGTCCAGCCTCTGTCAAGGAGGCACAGGGGGGGGTCGAACTCCCAACCTCTGGCTCCTGTTATGGAGCAGAGCTACATAAACTGCAGTGCTGTTCAGGCATCCCTAAAGTAGCTTTGATGTCTTAAGGGTACAGGAAGATGCTCTACGACCCGCACAGTTCTCGTAGTCCAGGATGGAGAAAGGGGCGTCCTCTTGTCTACCCAAGGTAGCAGAACATCTTGGGATGGCCCTGCTTTCTTTTTAATCATCCTTTTATATTTACAGAATGGCTTTTCTCATTCCAGTACATGGCTTGCACCCAGCCAGCTCTCCTCCCCAACCATCTTTTTTAAAAAAATAATAATAATCCTTGTATACAATGAATATAAATTAGCCTACCAAAATTTACTCACCCATTTTACATTTCAGGAACAGAACTGGGGAGATTAATGACTTGCCCAAGGCTATTCCATCACATTTAAAATTTGCCTCGTGCCGTTTGAGCTGAGACTATTTAAAATCTGAAGCACTGGCTTCTAGACAAGCTGACATACAGAGCAATATATGGGTTTAATTGAGTGGTCGCTTATCTCTTGCCAAGAAAAGAGGAAGCGCATTAGCAAAGAAAGAAGACAAAATAGGATACAGACAGCCATAAATGTTATATATGCTGTTTTATGCATGTGGATGCAGATTTAGAAATGGCCGCAGTGTTTCAAACAGGGTTGTAAAAGGCTTCCCCATAATGCAGGGGTCAGGGACCTTTTTAACCTTTTATCCCCCCCAAAATTTTGTATATGTTGACATTACCCCCTTTGGCTCTTGCAGTCCATGGCAGACCCCCACCCCGCCTCTGCGCTCACCCGGGACCTGTGGCCACCGCCTGGACAGGCAGTCTGGAGCTGCCACACCGCAGAGAAAGCGCGTCCTTGGTGAGGGGAGGCAGGTGCCACAGGGGCATCAGGTCCATTGGCCATGAGCTCAAGTGAGGTGGGGCACTGGGCGGGTGGGCGCGGGCAGGAAGGAGAGCCCTGGCCAGGGATCCGTCGGGCAAAGAGACCAGCTGGCCTGGTATGCCACCCTCCCCCCCCCACTTTGGAGGCAAGGAGGGCAGGTGGGGGCCCTGTGTAGTTCCTCTCCAGGGCTCGCTTTCCCCACGATGGAACGCCCACCTACACACAGCATCGTCGGAAATAAAATGCCTGGGGGTAAAATGCCTGCCGCGGCAGTCCTCATTACCCCCAGGATTTTCATTTTTACCCCATTTGGGGTAATTTACCCCTGTTCCCTGACCACTGCCATAATGGGAAGGTGACCCCTCCCCCAAGGGTGTGTCTGCTTGCCCCTCCCTCTGTTGTCCAAATGCTCAGCTCTCAAAGCGCAACGTAAAGCCCCTTCCTCCCCTTGTGTGGGATTCTTTACTGGACTTTCAAGATTTCCCAGTACTATACACAGGACTCTCCTTCTCTGAGAGCTGTTGAAATGGAGGAAGGTCTTCTGTAAAATAGGACACATGGCCACCCTAGCACTTAAAACCTTTCATCATCATCATCAAACGGCAAGATACCCACACCCCCTTGCCAACCAGGAGTTTTGTAAATTAGGTAGAAGGGGTTTTTGTTTGTTTATTAAAAGGGGAGTGTTTCCTTCTCTTCTGTTGTGAACACATGCAACACTTTCTTTTTATGAAGAAGGTAAAAAGGGGTAATGAACATTGTTTTTTCCCCTTCTTTTTCTCTTCATGATTTTTATCAGTGAATGGCTGTTCACCCACCCACCTATATAACTTTATAATGGCTTTGGTCTCAAAAAGTGGATACTAGAGAAAGTGAATCAATCCAGGATGAAAATAGTTAAACTGGGGATTCCAGAACTCGATCAGTTACAAACTCGCACAAAGGATAAACCACCATGTCTATTTTGTAGACATGGTCTAGAGGGGCGGGCACACAAAGGATAAACCACCATGTCTAGACCCAAGCCCAATTTGTACCATTTTTTTAAAAAAAAATGGGAATAAGAACAACACATTATGCAAGACTATAGCAAGGACAGATCAGATAAAATGAGTGCAAAATACATGGTGAAAAGAACTCGGAGGCTGTCTTCCTAATGTGCTTCTATAGACCAGCTCTTGAAGAGGAACTGGTCTATAGAAGCAGGAGAGTGTTATGGCAGCTTAGAAAAGTGATCAGGGTAGTGGGAGAAGCCATACTGGCCAGAGGAGTCTGGGAGTTGTGGTCCAAACAAGTAATGTACTCAAGCTAGGTTTCATAGTGAGCAACTGAGAGCTGCCCAAGTTGGAAAATGTGCATGTTGTTGTGCAGAGCCTGCTGGTGATCTAACACCTTTATGAAAAGGGAGGTATGTAGCTCTTGGGGTGGGGGGTAGATCATGGGCATTGGAAGCAAAAGGTCCCGTTTTCATCCTTCTCATATGTAGGTAGGACTGGGAAAGGCCCCAATCTTTCGCAGTCTTCACCAGAAGCCCCGGAGAACTGCTGCCAGCCAGTCCAGGTGGACCAGTGGTCCTCTGTCTCTGTCTTTCTAACAACTTGGGTATCTTTCATGGAGCATGAGGAACATCAGCCCAAGATGGCTCTAGGCCCGGCTGCAATCCCCAGCCTCCATTCCTTTTAGCCATCCTGTTTGGATATGACTGTATCCCACCAAGCCATTTACTAGCTGGCCTGGGAGCTATCTGTTAGGGTGGCTGAACGGAGTACGTACTCAATCCAGAATGCCAGATGAAGAAGAGTGAACTGCTGGTGGAGTTTATTCCTTTCCTTTTGTCTTATTGTTTATTGTTTTACTGCTGTTTGTTTTATAAGATGCCTGTTGTTTGAAGACCAGCCCCGGTCACCAGCATTTCTAGAACAGCAAGGCCTATTGACCTGTTTAGCATTGTACTGAAAAAAAAAACCCCATGCATCTATCAATCTCTGGTTCAGATCTTGGCCCATTCGCAAGATCACATGGGCACACCCCTCTGCTCAGTCTGGGTACCCATGTGCAATAGACAGGGATGACAATTCTGACCCATCCTGCCTCTTTGTCACAGAGCATCCTGTATACCAATACAGTAGCCTCCAGGCTGCAACAGGCAGAGCTCTGTAAATTCCCAAATACTGTACTGTACACACCCAGTTTGCATCTGTTCTTAGACGACAGCGCCCCCTGGTGAGCCACCAAAGTCACTCACCTTGCTACAGGCCCACACGTGGAGCGCCTCATCATTTTCGACACCTTCTGCCTCTCCAGGATGGGATCCGGGCTTCTTCTGGCATCAACACTGAGCTTGCGCTTGATTGAATAGACAGGAAACCGATGGGATGGGAGGCGTTGGAACCTCTGCTCATTCTCAAAAGAAGGGTGACCTGGAAAGAAGTTATTCATTCAGAGGTGTCTGACCACTTGGCAGCTGGGCTCAGATGTGCTCAGAACCTTGTATTTCAGATATGGGACATATTGACTAAAGTTACACAAACTTTAAAGGTAAAGGTTCCCCTTGACATTTAGTCCAGTCGTGTCTGACTCTAGGGCGCAGTGCTCATCCCTGTTTCCAAGCCATAGAGCTAGCGTTTGTCCATAGACAGTTTCAGTGGTCACATGGCCAGTGCAGCTAGACACGGAACGCCGTTAACTGAGGTGGTACCTATTTATCTACTCATATTTTTATATGCTTTCGAACTGCTAGGTTGACAGGAGCTGGGACAAGCGACGGGAGTTCAATCCACCACGTGGATTCGAACTGCGGATCTTTCGATCTTGCAGCCCAGAGGCTTTGTGGTTTAACCCGCAGTGCCACCATGTCCCATCTTTAGGTGAATACTATTGTGATTCAAGCTATTGTGTTTTGGGGCAGTGCTTTAATAATAAATGTAGACTGTCAGATGTTCATCTTCATGCCCCCCACCCACCCAATGCAGCTTCTTGGGTCCATCTGTAGCAACGAAACAGTCGGTGGAGCAGTTTTTATCTCCCACAAAAGCAGGGCTTTTGTAAGGCTAATAGGTCTTAACTGCTTGTTTAAAACCAAGCAGCCACCCCCCAAATTCTTTGCACTAACGGGGTAGCTCCCAGCAATCTGAAGCTAATGGCAGGAGTAGAATATAGTTGTGGGGAGAGGAGTTAGTGGTTGGCATCACTAATGTATGCACCACTATTCAGAAGTAAATCTCATTCACTTAAATGTGCTTTACTCCCAGATAAGTAAGAAAAGCCAAAGTAAATTATACAAAGATTTTAAAAATACAGAATAAATTGTGCAAAGCAGGACTGTGGCCCCTTTGTCTAACAGATAAATAATAGATGCAACATTCTTAAAAAACAAACAAACAAACTGGGTGCAGGATTTTCATTTTCTAATACTGAGGAACATTGGTTTTTTCTACTGTTTGCTTCTTCCCGGTTGACATAGATTGATGGAGAGCAGCCCTCCAGGTGTTAAGGCTGGTTGAAGTAATTCATGGCCCTTCAGAATTAGCTGGACTATAGTCGCCATTATTCTTTTCTCCAGTGCAGTTTCCCTTCATCTGCAGTGGCTTCTTTGCCTGAGCAGAACATACAGTATTTTCTATTCCTTGAAAAAAAAAGAGCTTTGTCTCTAGAGGCAGTCTCAGCCAATCAGGGACCCCATGCAAGGGACTGTGCTCTCTGATTAGGCCATGTAATCCTGTCGCATAGTCTAATCTGAGCAAGGGCCTGCCCTCTCCATGAGCAAACATTTCTACCTGATTTCACAAGCACCTCTGGAAAAGGGTGTGAAGTCTTTCATGAGACATTCCTGTCTTTACCTATAAGGATTTTTTTTAAAAAGCATTATCTGTTTTTTAAAAAATGGTTGAAGAAGAACCCAAAGTCCTAACGCAACTTCCAGAACAACAGGTGAAGCATGTTTGTTACCATACTAAAGAGTTGAAGTAGGAAATCCACCGTCGGCAACTCCTTGGCACAGTTTAGAAAAAGTTCCTTTTTTGGCCTACAGCCACCAGAATCTATGCTGCCTGCCTGGAAAGCTTGGGAGTTGAAATCCATAAAAGAACTTTATACACACACTAACTACTCCCTGATTCACGTCTTGTCTTTGCCATGGATACATGCAGCCCCAGGCTGGGCATTTGTATAACCTCTGTCTCCCCAACTCCATTTCAAAGCGACTGAGAGTTATGGCTACTGGGGGACCTTATAGTGTCCCAAAACTGGCCGAGCTCGCTGGATAGCTCAATGGTTTAGGCATCTGGCTGCGGAACCAGCAGGTGGGAGCTGAATTCCTCACTGTGCCTCTTGTGAGTAGAGCCATCCTCTGTAAGCCATCCTGGGGCAAATTGCACAGTCTTAGGACACCCTCAAAAGAAGGGAATGGGAAATCACTCGTCTGTATTCTCTACCTTGAAAATGTTGGAAAGGATTAAGACCATAAGTCTGAATTGACTTCAGGGCATACTATTATGATTACGATTATGGTTATTAAAACTGACTGAGAGAACAAGTTTGATCCGGATAAAACCTACTGTAGGAATGGGGGTGAGGGGGTGGGAAGAGAGAGAGAGAGAGAGAGAAAGAGAGAGAGAGAGAGGAGACTGTGCTGATGCTCTGGTATTCTCTAAAGCATCTGACCTTCCCTCAGGGACCAAGAGATTTAGAACAGAAACATTGCTTTCCTACCCATGCGGGCTGCTGCCTGGGTGCTTGCAAACATGGACAAGATACACTTTCTGGACTGGGCATGTGCCACAAAGAGACTGGATGCTCTAGAGAGAGCACCTTAATGTCTGTGATGCTCTGAGTCTTAGGGCTAAAATTTTCATGTAGCATTGCTCCCTATGTGGAATAAGCTTCTGCTTGTTATTGGACATGTGTTGAAAGTCTTATTTTTAGGTGTGTGCCAAACACCCATCTGTTTATGCAAGCCTTCCCAGAATAGTTTAGCCTATCATGCATTTCATCGCAATGGCTGTGCAGGCACTTCATATTGATTTGGGGCGTTGGTCTTTCATTTTATATATTACGTTTTTTGTACGCAGCTCTGAAATGGCCAATTTCACAAAGCAGGCAAAAATATCAATAGATAGACCTCTCAGGGTTTTCCATTGTGGGATCTGGCAATGCCCATAACTGTAAAAATGAGTGTTTAAGAGAGAAGAGCCTTCTTCCTGATGTGCTAGCTTTCTTTGTGCAGGGAGAGCTCTCTCTCTCTCTCTCTCTCTCTCTCTCTCTCTTTAAAGCAAGGGGACTGCTGAAATATACAATCCCCCTACCTGCATTCTTAAATGGTGGAGCAGGACCATGTGAAACTCACCCTCCCCCCCATGCTTCATCCAAGTACGTTGGCTAGCCCTTAGGGAGAACATTTGGGCCGAAGTCTCCTTTATCTAGGGAAGAGGCTGGCACAAATGGCACTGAGTAAAGCTTCCTGTTTGAACAGGCATGGTATAGCATTCGACACTACTTATGCATGAGAGACAGATCTGGACCTGTCTTTCTATGCTGCAGGATTAGCTAATTAGTGGTGGGGCTGGCATCACCATTAAGCAGGATTAGGGATCCTTTCCAGGAAGCAGATGCGGAAGGAAGCAATCGTGGCAATATCTCAGCAGTTCCTCTTGAGCTCTGTTGAAGGATAGGGGTGTGTATGCCACCTGGCCCATTCTAGCCCCCCTAAATGGTCCTACTGCTCATGTAGTAGTGGAATTTTATAGCTCAGAGCCAATGAGGACATGAAATTCAGATGCCAGTCCAGTGGGCTTCTAGGCCCGGAACACAGAAGATCAGGGGCAACTTGTGAATAAGGCAGGGGAAATTTGCTACAAAATTTCAGGGGGAAGTACCCGCCTGCCCTAGTTCTAATACTCCTTCAGTTGAAAAAAAAATCACAATTTCTTTGACCCATCAGGCATGAAAATGTCTCAGACTGGCCTGATCCATAATGAATCTTGTCCCATATTCAGGCCAGCTTGCTCTCAGTTTGGAGAGCTAATTAACCATGTTTGCTTGTTGCATTTTTTTTATTTTAAACAACAGATTTATCGTGGCACACACCTTTGTGGACTTCATCATGTGCACAAAAATGGCTGAGGGTAATTTGCTGAAGGGGTTTCTCTATGCCACAGAAATGTCCATTATAATGATGCATCTGTTCATTTTTATAAAGTGCCACAAAATACCTTTTGCTCTTTTTGTGCACTTGAGAGTTACCTGCAAACTGGGATTCCTGCCTGAACCCAAAGGTTTTCCCTCCTCCAGGAAGGGCCAGAAGAAACCCTTTCACTACCAAAAGAAGGATTCGTACAACCGTGATTTGTCTGAGCTGATATCAAGATGACTACATGGCACTTTTCAAAGAAACATTAAAATTACTATGTGGTGCTGGAGGAGAACTTTGTGGATAGCCTAGATTTCCAGAAAGGTGAAGAGGTGGGTCCTAGATCAAATCAAGCCTGAACTATCTCTGGAGGCAAAAGGGTTGAAACTGAGGCTGTCCTACTTCTGGCACATCATTAGAATGCAGGATTATCAGGAAAAGACAATCATGTTGGGAAAGGTGGGTAGCAGCAGGAAAAGAGGAAGACCCAATGTGAGATGAGCTGACTCCCCAAAAGAAGCCACAGACTTGAATCTGGTGAGGACAGGACATTTTGGAGGTTGCTTGTTCATAGGGTGTCCATGAGTCGGAAGCAACTTAATAGCACATAACAACAATAGCAAATCATCACAGTGGCGAAGATGATGGAGAATAGGTCTCTGTCTCTTAAGAGTTTACAACCCAAATTCCAATAGTTCTGGAAGGAACGCAGAAGGTGCTGGTGACATCGGATCTGAATGAAACGAGATGAGTCTTATATGTGCGAAAATACTGTGAGCATTTCAGGAAGTCAAAGTTGGAATGACGAGAATAAGAGGTCTTATTTTTTTGTCAGCATAAGCTTTCCTGGACTACAGCCCACTGCATCAGATGCATTGAGGAGTGTGTGTGTTTGAAACTCAGCAAACTGTTGTCAAATTAGGGAAATGGAATTGAGCATCCTTTCTCTTCAAATATATTTCAACTCTTTTTTTAAAAAACTGCACTCAACAGGGTAAGAAAAGTGGGATTTTGTCACCTTGCTGGGTGCTAGTGTGCAATTAGGAAGCAATGGCAGTAGTGGAGGTGAAAGTGGCAAAATTTAGAGCAGCAGGTGGTTATATATTGAGGTGATCCAGGTAGGTACATATATCTTGGAGAAGAGGTGATGGGGAGGTAGGTTGTCGGCTCCAAAAACTAGTATGCAGCTGAGCCAGGCACTGTTTTTCATGCCCTAGGGGACATCACTAAGAGAGGACAGGGTCATGTAAGCCTGTAGTGGCAGAAGCAGTAGCCATAAAAAGCAGGGAGACATGCACTGATTTTCCTTTTCAGACAAGATTTTTTCCAGAATCTGGTACTATCACAGCACAAAGCAGCACAGATCTGGGGTAGGAGGAGCGGTCAACGGGTCTGACTTTAATCACTGTGCCCCACTGTCCATTGGCTCCCAAGGAGAGATGAAGATGTTAGAACCCCTGAGAAATCTGAAGCTCCCCTCTTTCACATGTGCTCCTCCCTGCTTTTCGGTGCTATTGGTTTGGCCACTACTGGGGAAAAAAATAAATAAAAAGGATTTCATAGACTCACCTTCCAAGATGTAGACCTTGAATCCACTGCTGATCCCTGTGGTGTAGTGAAAATCAGCCAAGGCCATCATTGCTGAGGTGGGTGGGTGGCTATGGAGGCCACACAGAATAGTTCCTGATATTGTTTGGCTGGAGAGGGGGAAAAATTCCAGTGGAATTTAGGGTATGAAGGGAACGCCCAGAATCAAAAACTGTTTGAGTTCTTGTGTCCAAGACGTGGGCACTTGACGGTCTCTTCCAGATCTCCCACCACCACCACCACCACCAAAGGAGTAATTTTTAATCCAGAGAAAGAAAGAGGCCCCAATTCTCTGGCCCCAGAGGCTTGATCTTTTATATGTTTCACCCTCCTCTGCTGTGAGCAGCTGCAGCATCCCTTCTTGAACCTTTGGATTGCAGCCCTGGGGAGGTGGAGTCATACCTGGCCAGTCTCGACAGGCCGAACACCCTCCTCCCCACTCCTTTTGAGCCCCCTCAAGGCAAGAGCCATATGTGTGCGCACACGCCGCTTGTGTCACACCCTTTTATGTATAGGGGAGGGAGAGGATACGGTACCCTCCCCAGCTCAAGAGACAGGTGTGGAGCAGATGGCAGAGGGAGAGATACTGGGGTCTGGGAGGGAGGGAAGGCAGTGTGGGCAATTTCAGGGAAGTGACAGGAATGCCTTTAGAGGTGCCATTAACATTATTCTCTGGAGAGCAAAAGAGCCATGGGGGGGGGGGAATCCACAAGCAGCTTAAATCCAAGGAGACTTAGTTTGCTCACCTTAGCAAGGTCTCTTTTCAAACCATTTGCCTTTATCTTCGTTCTGTCGCTCAAACAATGTATTACAATACACAAAGCAATTCATTACACAAATGTGAATCCAATTTATAGATATTTGGAAGTGGATACTGGGAGGGAGGGAAGGCGGTGTGGGCAATTTCAGGGAAGTGATGGGAATGCCTTTAGAGGTGCCATTAAAATTATTCTCTGGAGAGCAAAAGAGCCAGTGGGGGGGGGGGAGGGAACACAGAAAGTAGCAGGGGGGGAATCCACAAGCAGCTTAAATCCAAGGAGACTTAGTTTGCTCACCTTAGCAAGGTCTCTTTTCAAACCATTTGCCTTTATCTTCGTTCTGTCGCTCAAACAATGTATTACAATACACAAAGCAATTCATTACACAAATGTGAATCCAATTTATAGATATTTGGAAGTGGAGTGTCTGAAGAAGACATGAATTGGAATCGAGGAACATTCAGGCTAAAACAGAATTATTAGCTTTAAGGAATCCACAACACTTTTAATTTTGCTTTCTTTTTCTTCTTTTCTTTGTGGTGTTTCTGAAATAGGCTAACACCACTACCTGTATGTGCATTTATATGTATTGATCAATCAAATCTACAAGGCTGAAAGGAAGAAAAGATAAGTATCATTCCTGAGCAAATGAAATAACTGTGTCTAGGTGTACACTGAGCTAACCCATGAGAGAAATGATCATAGATGTATCTATTTTGTATATACATATACATTTTTTTACTCTGCACTGAAGGAAGTGTAGCCCTCAAGACGTTTCTGAATTAAATGTCCCAATATCCCTCATAATCCCTGGCTTGGGCAGATGGGAACTGAAACCCAGTATGTTTGCAAAATAAAAGGGAAAAATACAAAAAAGCTCCACGAAACATAATAGCACAAACCATTGTAGACTAACCATTTTATTTCAGTGTGAGCCGTTGTGGATGAAAGTCCACTTCTTCAGGCGGAGTTTGAATGATTTTGATCCACTACAGCTCGTACTTACATCAAATGGTTAGTCTTTAATGTTCTACAATATTTTTCTTTTCTTTTGCCAACATGCTGCAACAGCCTAACACAGCTACTTCTTCAGAAACTGAAATCCAACGTGTGCTTGAAAGACTGTGAAGGACGGCTTGCAGAAGAAGGACGAGATGTGAAGAATGCCAGATAAAAATCTAAAATGGCTCTTGAGTCTGCTTTCTCATAAGGAATGAGATACCATACTTAAAATGGGACAGAAGAAATTACATAATGAGCAAATATCAAAAAGATGGGGTGTTATTTCTTTGGGAGACAAGAGGTGGATGTGAGATGCAAGTTGTGGGTGTGAGACTGTAGGAGGTAATAGAAGTTGTCTATGTTCTTGTAAGAATCTTAAACAGAACACCTGTTTGGGGAAGCCTGACTGTGGAAAAACATCAGTTGATGAATTTTATTTTATTTACTGCTTACATTTGTACTCTTCCATTGCTACAGTGAGCTCAAGGCAGCATCCTTGGCCCTGCTCCTCCTATTTTAATTTTAAAACAGACCTGTGAAGTGGGTCAGACTGAGAGAAAGCATTCGGCCCTAGGTCATCCAGTGAGCTTTTTGGCTTGAGAGGGACTAGAACCTTGGAAGAAGCGGTCAACAACTACCTCACACTGGCTCTGAAATGTGGTATTCTGTTTCAGAGCATTCAAAGTACAGTATTTTGAATATCCTCTTGCTGTGCTTTTAACCAGGAGCCTGATCAGACAGGAGGTTATTATTCTTGTTTGCTGCCAGAGGATTGAAGCTGAGGTGGAAAATCTTACTAGCCTAAGACTAGTGTGTAGGGGGAGATGGCCTCCATAGATTTTTTTTTACCCTTGAGCTCCACCCGGTGTAGCCAGTGGTAAAGAACTGTGGGACTTACAGGTCAAAACATCTGGAGGGCCAAAGGTTCCCTTTCTGACCTGGGGCCTCCTGCTCCATAGCACAGTCCCTCTTTATGCTGGTTCTTAAAGAAACATCTGTAGCTAGTGAACTGTTGGGGAGATAGGTTTAACATATAGCCCCCATTACCCTTAGCCCCCCCCCTTGCTGCCTCAGAAGGCCACTGGTTTTGCCCTGGCCTTGAGGCCTTCTGGTTTGAATGGTGAAGCCAGGCAAGCTGCGATGGAAGGCTCTCTGGCACCTCAGAGGTTAAAGGGAGCAGGCTGGGGCCCCACACCCAGCCCTGGCGTGAGGGAAGCCACGAGCCAACTGACTGGGGGCGCGTGTCAGGGCTGGCTTCCCCCACACCCTGAGAAGCAGTCGGGCTGCATTCCACCGCCCTTCCCTACCCCAACTGCCGGAGGGAAGGAAGATCCCTGAAGGATGGCAGGCAGGCAGGCTCAGCACGGAGGAGCAGAGCCTGTCTCACCCACCCACTGCCAGGCACGCCCAGTCCTGCCTCAAAGGCAGATGTTTTGCAGGAAAGGAGCAAGAGTTTTCTAATGGGCGAGTAAGCCCGCCGAGGTGTCTCAAAGTCTGGGCATCTGAACGGGCCAGGAAGAGAGAATGGAACATGGCACGTTAAGACACAGGAAGGGGGACGCTTGGGAGACAGGATTCTTGGACTTGCCCAGGTTTGCCTCAAAGGCAATAATGCACAGATTTGTTTTCCATCGAGATTCATTCCAAATCCCCAATCATTTCCTCTCCTTTGGTAAAGGGACAAAGACTCCCAGACTGGTTTTATGTAGCTGGACACACAAATTACCGATGTAGTCCTCACCCATACCCACCAGTTATGCACACTTTCTCATTTTATTAACCAATTTAGATTTTTAAAAATTATTATCATTACTCTGTTCTTTCCTGGGCCTTTAACAGTTTGTATGATTGAAAGATCTTGCAAGTAGTAAAGGCTACTAAGGATGTACAAATCTCTCAGTCTCAGGATGTGGTTGCATGTCAAAATACTCCTGGGTCTGTGTTAGGTTTAGCAATCTTGGAATTGATTTAAAAATATCTGTTTGCACAATGTACAGCTAAATGCACACATTTCTTTTGGCCAGGAAGTGTCAGTTTTTGGTTTGGAAATTTAGTTTTTTAAAGGATCCACTAAATTTTAATTTGATTACAGATGTACAGTAATTTAATTTTAATCATTTTTGCATGTGTTGGAGTACATTGGATCTGTGGGATTTATCAAGTATTGAATTGGATGTTAGGATGACAGATTTCCAGGTGACGGGGTAACACAGTTTGATTTGCTTTATTGTTTTTTATCTGTAACACTGATCTAGCACTATCTCAGTTTGAAAACCAAAACAAATAAAACAACTATTAAAATATGACGAAGAACCCAGAAAAATAACTTTAACCTCTTCTGGACTGCCTCTTCTTTCTTGCTTCTTTCAGGGAAATTAATTGGCCTGGGCCTCTGGCTGAGGAAGGTGGGAGAACAAATGTGCTGGTGGAAAGATAACCTTACAGTCTGTTATATATTTTTTAATCTGTAACACTGATCTAGCGCTATCCCACTATGAATTTTGTTTTTTTTTTAAATAAACAAATATTTAAAATCACACCACAGCAGAAGAACATGGCTTTTGTTCCTGCCACCCACATCATCTCAACATGGGGACTGAGTCAGTGGCATTGGCGGTGGCGAACAGTTGTGAGAAGCCAGTGTGAGGATGGGTGAGCACAGGGAAAAAACTCCACAGCAGTTCCAAGATGATGTGCCAGCAACCAGAGTGTTTCCCTATATGCAATGCAGGGTTTCATTTTAGATTTTTGGTGCAGACATTTCACTCTGGGAATACATGGCCTCAGAAGGGTGAAACACACAGGAAGTTAGAATCCCCATGGTGCCAATTTTAACTGATTTTTAAAAGCCTGTCTCCCCCCAATTCAACTGATATATCACACATCTTACACCCATATTAAAAACTGTCCCAAGAGGATGCACACACCGACCTGAAAACCACATGAGTACAATGTGACTTTAAAGTGATTTCAAACATCCTGAACCAGCTGCCAATTTATTTCTATAGTGTAAATGTGCCCTCAGTTTCCTTATATTTCTCTGGATCCTATCTGCATTTTTTCCACCTGTCCTTGTTTTATATCAGGTTTCTTTTCTCCCCAATCCATGTTGAATTTTGGCAACACTTCTGCACCTCCCTTGAATTAATTACAGATTACCACTTGCACACATTTTGAACATACTTTCAATTTATTTATTCATGCCATCATTTTCTAAAGTATGCTTATTCATATATTTTATTCCAGTCTTTGTAATTTTTTAAAATATGTACAGCTTTACACTAGCTTTATTTCTATGCAACAAACATGGGTAGCCTTGGGGCATGGTGTGTGTCTCCTTACAAGAAATT